GTCAGCCTGTGTCATTTTTCCTTTTGCAAGACGAATCTTTGAGTTGAGCCCTTCAATAAAGCAACAGCTCTCCCGTTCCTTCCTTTTAGTTTGCAACCTGTAGGAGATAAAAATTTTGCAGGAAGTAGGATTTTGCAGGAAGTTGGTAGATACATTTAAACACCAGAGACTCATAAACTGGTTAAATGTGAAAACCAATGTTAAAAACCTAGAGGTGATTCTGCTTTTATATATATTTTTAAAGCTCCAAAAGCCTGCATTCTTTTGGATGTTTGTCATGTTGGTTACAAACACCAATTGTGATTGGTCTTTGGGACAGAGTCATTTCTAGCTTGTATTTTATTATGTACTAGATTATCTACGTGAATCTTTGTAGTGTTTGCTGGAGCATTTGTGAGGTCTGTGCCTCCCACGTGAGGTGGTGGAACCCCCTTATCCTGGTGCTCACTGCCCCTCAAGGGGGTGGGTGTCAGCCAAGAAATACGTTACTTGCAGCAGGCATTTGTCCCTGTGAGTGCAGTTGTCCCTGTGAGTGCATAAGCTTCATTTTGTACAGTAAAACAAGGCTGAGAAGCACTCAGGGAAAAAAAGGAGTTCCCTGTGAGGGTTGGGGTTGGGTCCCTGCGCAGACGCTGCAAGGCTCGGTGTCTCAGAGTACCCCCAAGCATTCCTGGCCAAGCTGCTGCTGCTCCTCTGGCCGGGTGTGAAGCACAGCATCTTCCCCGCTGCTGTTGGGAACTGGTCTGACAGGGAGGACACACCGAGGAGGGCACCCAGAGCAGGAGGAGGAAGCCAGGGCAGTGTCAGTGAAACCCCACGCTGCTGGGCTGCTCCTTACTGCTGCTCATTATTATTATAATGAGCCACCGGCAAGTTGCATCAGGTTTTGTCAGAAACTCTTGACTTTTTTTGTTTCAATGTTATGAAAGCAAATAGTAACCAGGCTTGGCTAGACTCAGTCATTCAGAGGAAAGCCAAGCAGCAGGTCCTGTGTGCCAGCGGGCAGGATGATATTATCTCCTGTGGCTGGCCAGGTGCTTTGCTCAGCTGGATGAAGGAACATCAGGGGGGTTTTAACTTGTAATCTCTGCCAAACTGATAATAGTGGGTTACAGCTACGTGGAACAGGCTGGTGCTGTGCAGGCCCCTGAGTTATCCAGGACCTTGAGAGGTGAACTCCTTTGTGCAGTGCCTCGAGCTCGGGGCAGGTACCCCAGCCTGAGGTGTTGCACCCACCCTGGTGCATGGCTGCTCTGGGCTGGGGCCCCAGCACTGCCTCTCCTTGGGATTCCTGTCTCCCTGGCTGCAGCTGCCAGCACTTCCCTCTGGATTGCAGTTTTCCCTCCGAGTGCGGTGTTTGACTGTGTTCAGTGTTGGCATTTAGCAAACTCTTCTGGAGGGCAAGGGGAACGTAGGCTTTTGTCTTTATTTCTAAAATGCAGAATGAAAAAGCCAATATAGGCATCCACAGCAGCTGTTTGAGTGATAAACTTGCTGTTTCTTGGTTTTAAGATAACTGTTGTACTATCCCTGAATGAAATTCTTCTAAGGTAAAAGGTCTGTCAATCTTATTAGTCATTGCTAATGATAGTCATTATCATGTGAGCAAGCTGCTTGCCTGCTTTATGAGTTTAGGCAAGTCTGTTCCCTAATAAGTATCTCGGGTTTTTTAGCTGGAAAATGGTGAAAACAGTATTTCCCTCAGTTTTGAAAGGTGTTGTGCTGGGAGTGCTCTGTAGGGCAGAGGTCTCAGGCTTGTAGGATGGGCTGGGAATGGGGCTCACAGGGCTGGTGTGGAGGATCCTGGCTGGGCTTGGGCTCAGGTGAGTCTGTGTCACAGGGCAATCAGCTGCCAAACCCATCTGATATCAGAAGTCTGAGAGCCACTCCAAAACATCAGGTTTGCCTTGTTTGCTCTGGGTCAGAGGCTTCCCACTTCATCCCAGTCCAGGAAAGCTCTGCCCCTCCTGGCTCCTGCCGGTGATGCTTTGCTAAGGAAACAACGGGAGCAGAATTTGGGCCATTCTGATCAGCCTCAGCACTGCCAGGCTCTGCACACTGGGATACAGATCCTCCTGCACTTTCTGCTGACCCCCCTATATGTCTCAGTTTAATGAGACTGAAGAGTTTTGCTAAGGAGGATGAGTTATGAGGAAGACCAAGCTCCTCCTTCTAAGCACTTGTAAATCCGAAATTAAGAGGCTCCAGTTGAGGAAGTGTGGAGAAAGAAAAAATAACAGCCCCTTATTAATGGATGTATGTGTATTGGCAGAACAACAAAAGAACACAAAAAACAACCAAACAATAGTCCTGTATCCAAAAGTCCCCTTCAAAAAGGAAACAGTTCGATACTTTCCATCCTTTGGCGCAGTTCTAACCACCATCAGCAGGGGTTGGGCTCTGTTGGGCTCTGGCGGTCGCTCTGTGACGGCCCTGGTGTGTGGGAGAAGCCAAAATGGAGATTCCCCCCCACCGAGAAGGGGAAGAAGGGGGAAAAGGAGCTCTTCCCACGAAACTCACACTGTCTGCAGCTGGCTATGGCCGGGAATTCCCCCTTTCATCCATGGTCAGACGTCACTGCCAACACGGGAGCGGAGGAGGGCCAGAAAGGTTCCTCTGCAGGTGGGTCAAACCTCTCCCATGAAATCCGAGCAGGTCCGGGCTGGGGGCAGAGCAGGGTGCAGGAAAACGGGGGCAAGCCAGGGCCAGAAACAGCCAGATGAGCAGGCCGAGAACAAAGTGAACCTCGGACCCCTCCAACACACACCTTGCCTGAGTTAAGGCGGAAGTGAAATGCCTCCTGTTTCCCAGGAGAGAAGGAAAAAAAACCTCCTCACCCCTCCCCACAGTCTCAGGAGGGCCATCAGCTCGGAATGCAGGCCTGCTAGTTAGTTCTTTGTGTGGATCAATCACCCAAGGCAAACCCTTTCCCTCTCCCTCATTCAACATCTTTCTTTTACAGCAGGGAAAGAAAAATTCCCTGCTTGGTTGTTTAGAACAAGTAAACCTATGACACAATATCAGAGCGTTCCTGTCCTGCACAGATCCTTCCAGGAACCGGCTTTGGGATTTGTCCCTAACTACCTCTGCTGCTTCCAGCCACAGTGGGGTGTGGTGAGGGGGGTGGCCAGCGCTCCCTCACCTGACCAAACACCCTGGCAGGTGTGTGTGAGCACGATGGCAGTGCTGCACCATGCAAGGCCCTGCCTGGGGGCAGCCACTTTATGCCCACCATCTAAAGTCGTGTTCCAGGGCTGGGCTCGACACCGACAGTGTGTCCTTTAAAAAGCCATTCTGGCCTCTTTCCCTTTCTTCCTTCCATTCCATGTGCTTTTACCTTTCACTGGAGAGGTTCAAAACCAGCTTGGATAAGCAGGAGGGAAGTTCTAGAGGTGGTTGCTCCTGCATCAGTCGAGAGAGGCCCCATGGCCCCCTGATTGCTGTCCCAGCCCTGTGCCTTGTTTGGTGGATGGCACAGATTTACCTAAGGCTCTCAGAGGAGATAAACATGTTGCCCACACCACAGGGCTCCTGGTCCCCACCAGAGCTACCAGGCAGCTGGAAAGACAAACAAGGGCTGACTCCACCTACCAGCAATATGGAGACAGCAGCCCGTGAGATCGACAGCCCAAGAATGTGCACACAAAAGAAGCATTTCCCTGGGCCACGACAGTAAAACCACCAGACAGCCACATGCAGCATGTGACTTCCCAGAGCATCAGCCCAGATCCCAACTTCTCTGTGCCACACGCTGTTTCCCAGGGTTGGATCGCAGTGGCAACGTGTCAAAGGCACTTTCAAGCACTGGAAATTAATCACATTTTCCTCCACATTGTTTATGGAAACGGTGGAGAGCACTCCTGCCCCTCAGCACTGGCCAGCTGGCTCAGCCCGCTGGCCCGCGGAGTCCAACCCTCCCGGAGGTTGTGGTGGTTATGGTGGAGCTGGAGGAGATGTCCAGGCTCACTCTGTGAGTGGAGCTTTGGCAGTGACCTGGAGGGGCCATCTGTTGACCTGTGGGTTCCCTGGCTCCGTGTCCCTGCCAGCACATCCCTGTGCCATCTGCCTGGCAGGGCTGCACAGGGCTGGGGAGAGCACCCACTGCCTGGGAGTTTGGCCAGTGGGACCCTGGCACAGTGGGAGTAAGGTGAGCTGGGATGAGTGTGTTTTGCCCTCTCCCTGTGTTACACTGGCAGAACAACGTTGCTTTCAGCAGAGCAGCTCTGGTAAGACAGCTCTGATCTGCTGCATCTGAAACCTGGTGGGGCTTGGTGGTTCTTGAATTCCTGGCTTTAATCCTTTTTTTTGGGACTCTTTGGAGTCTGCTGTGCAGTTCTTTGCTGTAAAGGGAGCCATCAGTTAATTAATGACCATCACAGGCTTTGTCAGTAGAGTTCCACAAGGGCTAATGAGATGGCAAATGTCAAAACTGGAATACAAAATCTCTTGTTTATGGTGTGATTTTCCTGCCCTTCCCTCCATCATGTGTGCCTTGTACTGCTTTAGTGTCTCAGGAAGTTGCTATGGCATTGATATATGCTATGGCATATTTCTAAGGGTGGCAGGAACATCCATATGCAGTGTCCTTGCTTGGTCCTTTGGGGACAGACATGCTGTTGATGGTAGTGGCTGTGTGCCCACTGGGATTTTACCTGCCAAGAAAATTGTCTCAATTTGCAAAGGAGTCTTTTTCCCCAAATTATTTTTGGGTTTAGATTTGAAGTTTCCCAGGAACTTCTGTCAGCTGGGTTCCATAACCTGCACTTGGAGGTAATATTTAGATGATACCTGAGGCAAGGTTTGGTGCCTGATTTGGTAAGGCAGGATAGAACCAAGAGCTTGACCCTCACCCCTGTCTCTGGATGGGACCCTCTGGAGAGGAGGAGGGCTAGGGACAGACCCCACAGACAGGCACTGAAGGATGTGCTTTTCACTTCACATCCTGAACAACTGGGTTTGGGGATGGAGCACAAAATTCTGACGGTCCTGTGTTTAAACAGGGAGAAGACTACGAGGAAAAGCATTCTACAATGTCAATGGCAAGGTGTACTGTGAAGAAGACTTCCTAGTAAGTAAGATTTCAGGCATTTTTTTATTATTTCTAAACCAAAGCAGTGTTTTATATTAACTTGTTTGCTTTGAGAGATGGTTTTGTGATGTGGGGCCTCCTGCCAGTGGTGGAATTGGGAATCCTCTACCCCTGACTCCACAGCAGCAGGATCAGACCCTGGGTTTGAAGTGGTGGCTGTAAACCCAAGTACATAACTGTCTATAAGCCGTCCCAAAGTGTAAATTATGAGAATAAACACTGGAGCTGCTCAAGCCTGGGACTTGAACTGCAGCCACAGAGCCTGGGCTGCCAAGCTCCAAGTGAAACATGTGGGGAATACCAATCCTAACAGGAGGGAGCTGTTCCTGCCGGGAGCACGGAGTGGCTTTGTGCAGGCACAGCTTAATCCCTGCTCTGCTCCCAGGGCTGGGGCTGGGCTGGGATTAGCTGAGAACTGTTGGCCACAGAGGGACAACTCCTGTTCTCTCCATGATTTACTTCAGTAGAGACTAAGTCATGAAGAGAAAAATGATGCTTGTGGCTGAGCTGTGTTGTTCCAAAATAAAACATTTGAGCAGTTCAGGGTGAGGATTGTGCAGTGCACAGAAATGGTTTGATAAGTGGCAGACCATTTAGAATTAAGATGAAGAGGGACAGCATGGCAGGGAATTGCAATTAGAGAGCAATGATATATTATGGCTTAGAGGAAGATGAATTGGAGAGTCAGTATGTTTAATTTATGCCACCTCAGTTATTGAAATACCATTAATTTAGAAGCTTAGATCTTCCAGAACAACTTTCCATTTCTAATGAATATATAATCGTGCTTTTTGCAAAGGAATTATTCAAAGTATATCCCACAACAAAACTGGTACTTCAGAGAGTGCAAATGCCTTTCTCATCAATGCAATCCATAAAAATCATGGAAATTCCTACAATATAAGCCATATTTGCCTTCATGCATTACACTTTTACTCACAGCCTGCCTGTGAGCTGGAGCCCGTTGGAAAAAAACAAACTGTATTTTGTGCAGAAAATAAGTTTCTTGTGATAACTGGAACTTGTTACTGTTTTTCTTGCATTCTGGAGAGAAAAGTATTTTTTTCTTCCTTGCTTTTTTTCAGCTCTTTCTTTCCTGTGTTTCTGCAGAAGCACAGGGTGAGGGACAGGAGGTGGAGTGTGAGAGGGAGGGGCTCAAACCTTTGAGATTTTTAATTTGAACTGTGTAGGAATGTACTTTCCTCATGATCAAAACCTTTTATCCAGACTTAATGACATGATTGTTGTTATTAGCTTGTAATTTCAGCCTGAACACGAGAATTTTAAATCTAAAAATCTTAATCTTTTGGAGAACATTCAGTTTTCATGGGATGGGGGGAACCTCTTTAGCTCTTGGACATGTTCTGTTGTGGGCTTCTGAAGGGAGATACTTGCAGTGATTTTCCCAAAAAACTGAGATTAAAGGCCTGATAGGAATAAACTTTCTGCAAGTTAGGGAACTGTTGGGACATTTAGGACACGGATTTAAAAGCCCAAACCTCCCACAGGTGTGTTTTAGCAGGTTCCCAGTAGCACAGAGGGAGGGGGAGAGGAGGACCAAGGGACTCACTGCTGTGTAAGGCAGCAGGAGAAATCAAATCCTGCCATTGTCCCTGCTCGTGCTCAGCTCACTGCTTCTTCTCTCAGCTCCCCGAGCAAATGTCATAGCAAGAATACTAGGAATTGTGTTGTTTCACTAATAAAATAAAACAGCTTTGCCTGTTTTAGAGTTCTGTGGACAGAGAAAGCTCAAAGTTTTTCTCTAAGTTGAAAAGGCCACAAAGTTGCCATTAAAAAGGAAATTATTTTTACTACTTTATCTTCCCAGGTCTTGCTCCTGACAACTTGGAAACCCCAATCCTCTCTAAAAAGAGGTATTTTCAGTCCAAAGCAGGTGGCCAAATGCTTTTTCTGTATAACTGAGGATTTCAGTCTCTGTGGTGACTCCAAATCTTTGTGCAGCTTCCCTGGAGTGCAGCAGGATTCCCTGCTGACAGTATGGGAGTGGGATGGTAGGGAAGTTAAGCAGGGGGATAAGAAAAAGGTTATTTTAATTTGGGAGTGTAAACAGAGTCAGCCTACCAGCATTATAATTCTATTTATGCTGAGACAGTGCTGCCTGCTGTTGATGTCCTTACTCTTTCTTGGCTTTTGTTTGTCTGGGAGTCGATCAGGAGAATTAGATGCTCCTGTAGGTTTGAGAACATGGGCACAGCTCTGTGGATTTGCAGCCCCACAGCTTGTGACCAGGTTATTTCAAGTATGACACAAACATAGTAGGAATTAAAAAGCAGAGCAGCCTCAGACAGTTTGGGCAGGAGGTGCAGTGCTGTCACACCAGGGACCTTGGGGAAAGCCAGGGAATAATGGCCTGTGTGTTCCTGGTCGGGTTTGCAACAGCCTCGTGACCTTTCCATGGATTCCCGGGGACAGCCAGGTGTGAGGAGTGGATGGTTCCTTGCTCACAGACCCCCCAAAGCAGCAGAGGTGGGAATGAGCCCCTTGTGTGCCCTCCCAGCAGGAGGAATCCCGAAGCTGCTGGCAAATGTACTGTACATGGGGATGGGGGGTGGTGGCTGGAGCCTCCCTGGAACCTGGAGCAGAGCCTGGGCCCTTCCCAGGGAGGGCTGTCATTCCAGCAGAGCTCTGTCCATCCCCACTGCTGCCTCTGGCTGTCCCATTTATCGCTGCAGGTGCTTCTTCCCCACCATCCCTGGGGTCACACCGGGAATGTCCTGTGGGCCAGTCCAGGCCAGACACAGAGACTTTGGGGCTGCAATGAGGAGCATGTGAACAATGGTGGGCAGGAAAGCTGAACTGGTTCTTGAGGTGAACCAATGTAGGAAATTTTAGGGGAAGAATGGATATTATTTATGGGTGTCTTCCTATTGTAGCTGTTGGAAATGCTTAACATCCTATAGATGTCAGTATTTTATTTCTCCTGCAATGCCGCTGTTTGCTGTGCCAGGCCAGCTCCTGCTGGAGCAGCCTCCAGAGCTGTGGTTCCTATGGGATACCTGGGTCTTTTAATTCCCACTCACTCAAGACAGATCAGCTTTTCCTCTCGATCAGAGGTGGCACATGGAATTCACTGCAGTATCAAGTGTGGTCCTGGAAGCCAAGACCTTGAGAAGCCATTTTCTGATCCTTTCAAATGTTTGGCACTTGTTGTAAGGGCAAGGGCTCACCCTCCTTGGCTGAAGTGTCCCCTCAAGGTTCAGCACAGTGCTGGGGCAGCTGCTCCAGGTGAGTCTCTTCCATCCCAGAAACTTTTGCACTTCAGCAAAATCCCATGAAATCCTGTGCAGGTCTCATTTTCGAAGAGCACGTCGTCACTTAAAGCACCACGAGTGCCCGAGAGCTTTGGCTTCCACATGTTCCCAAAAAATCAGTCTGTAAAACGTGACCTACAAGCCAAGCACTCCAAATCTGCCCCTTGCTTGGAAAAGCACTTTTGGTTTGTGGCCCAAAGCTGTGAGTGACATGTGGGTGTGACTCATGATGAGCAGTTGGCACCGTGCAGCCCAAGGCACAGACACCCTGCAATAGCCACCAGGGACATTCTTCCAGCAAATAGTTTTCCCACATGTTTGCTCTTACTGAGGGCACGGATCATCTGTCTCTGAACCAGGCAGCCTATTGTTCTCATTCTTTCCAGGTGTTCCAAGTTTTTAGAGCCACTTGTGGAGTTGTAGATGGGGAAGGGATGCCACATAACCTGGTTGTCCTCGTGGTGCTGGCCTTGGATGCATGGGGCTGGGAATGGAGGGGTGAGGCTGGGAATCCCCACACCTGGAGGACATGGAATACCTCTACCTTCTGAGATTTTTTTATCAGCCTCCTGCTTCCAACCCTGATCAGCTGCACATTCTCTCAGTGCTTAAACCCAGGCCATTCCAACTGAATGTACTGAATGAATCAGATTTCAAAAAATAAATCCCCGGGTAATTCCACTTCTGCCTAAGCATGGCACAGCCATTGCCCAATCTGTGCCATTTCCAGGAGGACACTGCCTGTTACTCAGTGTGAGGAGCAAAAAGAACAAACACAACCCCCCCAAACTTTGCTTTGCTTTGCTTTAGCTCCAGGGAAGATCCAGTTACTCCTTTACACGCCACCTTAAGGTAGCAAGTCCAGCAATACCCAAGTGTTGCCCCAGCTCTGTTAGGATGGTTATTTCATGAAAGGAAATAAAACAAATGACAGTTTAATCCTTTCCTGAAAGCTCTTCGGACACAGATGGCTAACTAGCCATAACAGAGACACTGTTCCTGGTGAAGTGAACAAAAAATAAATGCCTTACTGTATAATAAATAATCCCAGTCAGATGTTCCTGTTTCATTTTGTTGATAAATTGCTGCATAATCACGGGTGAAGGAAAAATAGCTCAATAATTTTGTCTTTCCTTTTCAATGCTTAAATATCATGTAAAGAAATTTAAAAGAAATTACTGTTTTTCTTGGCAGAAAAGACTTTTAAAATGTCACCAAAGCAGCCTGAATCTTAGATCTATTATCTATCTCTTTTCCTTTTTTTTCCCCCTTTTTGATAGGCTTTTGCTTTCTCTCTTGAGGTAATGAACATTATTGAGTGGGGGTCCAGTAGAGGTTAAGAAATGAGGGAATTTCCCTCGAGGGAGGAGATGAGAGGGAAAATGAACCTTGTGACAGATGTTACATTGCTTAATGCACTACTGGAAGACACTCAGATGCTCTGGAAATAACCTATTAAAGACACCACAAGCTGCAGTGCACAGCATTAAGGTCAGCCAAAACTTCTCCTTTTAAGATGTTCTCTTTCACTCTCTTATATATAACTTTGCCAAATTTAATCATTTAGGCTGAACTTCTTTGTGCCAGGTTTTTGCCTCTGGCAAACTCTGCTGTCATTAGTTGCTCAAAGTTTCATCTAAAGCTGTTCATCCATTTCAGTGAGTGAGACTGGAGGAACTTTGCCCATAAATCCTCGAGAAAAAAGGC